GGATACAGTACATTGCTTTTATATATACGTTTAAAACTTTGAATGTGTGTTTAGAAAATTAAGTAAATTATTTTTAAGAAACGTAATCCCAATATTCCGTATGTAAAATAATAAAATAAATAAATATACTTGCAAGTTACAAATATTTATATTGTGGTGCCAAATCTAGATAGCTTGTATTGGAGTCAATTCTTATCTTATAATATATAAAAGAAAGAAACGTTGGACAACCCTAAAAAACTCTAATGGTATTTCTGTAATTATTTATTTTTAATATTTTTTCTCTATTAATTTCTAATTATAATTTTTAACAATTATCAATCTCCGATTTTTCATCAATATATCTCAAATCTTAAGAGATAGAGATAGAAATACGATTTTTTAAATCTTAATCTATATATTTGGATTATAAATCTTAATATGTAAGATTTAAAAAAACCAATGGTATATAAAATATGAATAATACCACATTATTAAATTTTACTATGTTAGTGTACGATATTTTCTTACTATGTATTAAATTAATTATTTTTTTCACTTTTCAAATAATATCCCGTGCATCGCACGGGGGGAAAATGCTAGTAGATATAATATCGTGTGAAAAAAGGTCCCGCATGGAATGATCTAACCGTTGGAGTATGCAAAATTGTGTCAAATAATTTAAGTTTGAATCTCATTGTTAACAGTCGCTAAATCGAGTATTACAAAATCCCGTCCTATACCCTTCTTTTTCTAAGAAAATAATTTTTGTTTTATATAGTTTGTCCTACTTGTATGGGTATTACATATTAGTTGTTTGTAATAAGTTTTTTGTCATCAATTAAGCTATATGTTTGATGTTGAATGGATTGGTTTAATTTACGTAACTAAGTAATCTATTTTTCTAAACACACATTCAAACGTGTATATATATACTACTTTGACAAAAAAATTAAATATTCAAAGAAACTTAAATAATTGGAATAAATCGAGTGATTCGTGAATCTAGTGTTGCTAAATGAATGAGTGCATGGCATGCGGTACTTTGTCGGCTTTCAACAATTTGTGATAACATTGTCCACGTCATCCGCGCTTATCGTTCGAGCAGATCGCACATTCTGTGGCGGTGCATGATGATTCCACGTCACACTCACCGCCGAATAAACAATACGAGGTTTAAGCGTCTCTATCTTTCTTCATTCATTCAAGCGCGTGGACCCAAACTGGACTTTTGCGGCGAATGGTGGTAGTAGTAGAAATGCTTTTATTGAATGATGAAATACAGATTTTTAATTTTACAAAATAA